GCAAGCAGGTAGGTGTTTTTTTTATTGCAGAACAGACATTGCATGTGCATGCTTGTGATTTCAACAGAACTATCAAGCCATCAAATGGCTGGTGTCATAATTGACCACATGTGCAGCACAATGACAACTGCAGATCAAACAGATACTAAGAGGCTGCTTCCCCTCTCTCTTTCAGCCTGAGCATATCTGTAAGGGGATTACAAGAGGCTAATAATAAGCAAAGTAAGATAACCGCATTCATTTTTTTCTGGAGTTCAGCTTTAATGGAGTCGTAATGAACTGCTGTCCATATGATACCTAAAGTGAACTCTCTGCAAGAAAATGTCTGCTATTCTATCAAATTTTATATCAGAAAATGTCTACTATTCTATCATCAAATTTTATATCAGAAAATGTCTGCTATTCTATCATCAAATTTTATATCCAATACAATTAATCATGATAAAATCTCTTTAATGTTTTTTCATATATTACATATTTACATTTTTACTCCAATAGCTGAGAAACAAATTACAAGATTGCTTTAATCCTGCAGCGCTTATTAAGTGAAGTTGATCTACAAAGCTCCATAGTTGATAAGATGGCAAGTTAGGAGGTCAGCACAGACAAATGTTCCTGAACACGACAGCATACACATGCAGGTTTCTATAGTTGCACACGTATTTTTTAGGTAAGGCTCTGTGCTGATGTCTGAATTGACATGGGAAAACTAAAGATCTATTAGCCAACAATTTCCAATAAAATTTCAATCTTTTCAGTAAGGCAGTGCAAACAGCAGTGATAATATACACAGTTCATTATTCTGTAGCAGATTATTTTTATGAGGATGTGGACTAAAACATGGATTGTGATTGGCTGATGTTACTGTACTTAAAGTGTACCTAAACCCAAATAAATCATACATTGCAGTTTACCGATTCTTTTCTGGTTTTCGGTTTTTATTCGGGGCTTAGCTCACAGTGCTAAGCCAAAACATAAGTAATGGTTGTGGTGTACACTAAAATCGTGTTCGTGGTTGTGGCATATTGTAGTGAACTGAAGCATTTAATAACGGTGCAAATACTGTCCCACAGAAAAAATATGGGGTTAACTGTGGTGAAGAAAGAATTGTTCCTGCATCAGTGGTGTCACTAGAAGGAAAAATGTTCCCACTGTTGGTAGTGTTACTAGAAGGAAGTAAATGTCCCAGAGTTAGTGATGTCACTGGAAGGGAAAAACTTCCCTCTGAGCTGGAAGGAAGAAAAATCTCCCTCCATCTGTGGTGTCACTAAAAGGAAATAAAATGTCCCTGCAACACTGTTGTCACTGGATACAAAAACTGTCCCTGCATCAGTGGTGTCACTGGAAGAAAACAATGTTCACTCATCAGTGGTATCACAAAAAGGATATATTCCACTGTATCAGTGTCTGTGGATTCATTTAACCAAATAAGCCCATTCCTATGTTTGCCGGTTCAAACCTGAAGCCTAAACAGTCCTCCTGCAACATTAACTTCATGTGTGGCTACAATCACTTTTCCACTGTATAAACAGAAGAAGCCATAGTTGTTACCCAGGCTGGACTTCAGACAAGTCTTCCTTTGTTCATCTCCATTACATGGTGGGTGAGGGATTAACAGTTTACACAGGGAGGATAACAGTGTTTTTGCTTTCAGATCAGCTCACAGGAGGTGACAAGGCCACTGCATTTCTGGCACAATTAACTGGTATTTTCCACACCTGATGAAAATGTTCATAGTCTCTTGCCAACTTCTAATCTCGAGTAATCATCTGAACATATTAAAACTGCTAGCATGAATCTAATCTAAATTAAAACCATAATGCTTATGTTAAATGCATTTGCTGTATTAAAGGTAAATGTAAAAATATAATAGTATTTTACAGGTAAATTTGCATTCAGAACAACAGTCCTTGTTTTATCCCAATGTCTCTTGGAGGCACTTATACAAGTGTACTTGGTTGAAATTGAGTATCTTCTAGGCTTTCTCTGATGTATTTATCTGATATGTGTTGGTTGTCACTGTAGGCAGGTGGTGGATATTCATGAGACATGTGATTTTTCCTGAAGTCGCGTACAGTCCTGATATATAAGCCACACAATATGGAGCTCGACAAATACAAACATGCAGCAACTAGGCCAAATATGGCAACAGCGGCATCACCTCCTTGTACCTCACAGTTCATCCAGGTGTAACCACGGCCTGCATAAAGCCTTTCTCTAGTTTTGCAGACATCCATAGCGTTCACCTGCTTGATAAAATACAGGTACAGACCAACTGCAACAACGTAACCCAAACAAGCAATGGAATCAAAAATTAGCTCTACATAAAGCACCTTGATGGACACCCTATGTATGGGCTTAGCACCCAGAACCAGGAACACAATTGTAAGGGCACATATAGTCAAGCTGAAGGCTACTCCACCATAAACTCCCGGTGCTCGCAGTTGACTATACTGTAGGTCAGCATCCCTTACTTGCTGCAGCTCTGTTCCTTGAAATGGACTATACATTGAGTCAATACTGAAAGAACCAAATCCAGCAGCAGATGTGTAGCCAGTGATAACAGCAAATGATGCAACCACACAAATCAGCACTAAGATACCACTTAGTATTTCCACAAATTGCAGGGCACCTATAGAAAAAGAGAACATAAAAGAGGAGGTTAACACCTAATATATCATAAAACTTATAACACGTATTTTTCTAGGTTCATAGCAAAGCAGTGACAGTTTTTAACTTTAGATATGGTTTATGTCAAATAATAAATGGTCTTGTCTTGTCAATTAGAGGCTGATGCCCATGTAAAATGGAGGACTGGCCACCAATTAGTTTTGATCAGACTGTGTAATTTATTTTGGCAGATTTCTTGAATGGTCTGGGCATTTGTTATGGGGGATCTAACATGATAAGGCTCCACTGTATTTTCAAATGCCTAGAAGACAATTATTTATCCTGACATATAACAAATATAGGAAATGGAGTGACCATGCTTGTATTCAAGTATTTTTTTTTTCAAAACGTCATGTCTTATCTTATGTGCTGGATTGAGAAGAAAACATTGACATATTACTGCTGATCCATTCCTAAGGTTTGCTGCAGTTTGCACCATTTTATTTTTTGTAGAATTATTTGAAAAAAGTTGTGGCTGAAGGCAGGCTTTAAAACTTGGATTGACTGGGAAAGGGCTAGAACATCTGTCTGTTTTAGTTTTGTAGGTGTCCCCACTAGGGATATTTTCCAATATTTCCTGCATAGATAATTTTTGTCAGACAAACCGGAAAGCAATCGCAAATCTATCTGATGAGGTCTAATCCTTTCCTACTTAATCAGCAATGTTCTGGCAATGTTCTGGCTGGGGTTAAATTTAAAAAAAAGCCAACAAGATATATTGATACATATTACTTTATCTGGACTCACCTAAGCAATGTCCAGCATGTACAAAGTAAAAAGTTTTCTACTGCCCTTAGAAAAAGGAAAAAAGATCGCTCTTGTAAACGCTATAAACAGCTAATTTTTCTCTGGTTCTATTCACATTGGTTGCTCTCCAAACAAAAATCAGCCTACACAGAGCCAGTCTTTGATGCATATTGCACCATTGGGCAAACACTGCAAGATACATTTTTAGACTCTTATTTTTATCTTCTCTATGATGTCCTGGCATCAGAATGCCTTAAATTGCTGTGTATTAGTTCTGAAAATGAAAGCCAATGTGTGCTTTATATTATATACTGGTTAATTACTTGCTATGCAATAGCTACTTAGCTGTTACAAGTAGGGAATATCTCAGTAGTTAGTCAATGCATGAATAAAAGATTCATCAACCTCAGTCCTTCAACCTTTTTCAATTAGGACACAAACTGAGTGACATGGGTTTAAACCACCACAGCAGCTCTTTTATTAACAAATTAATACATAACATCAATTTCAACAATTAAAATTCAATGATGCAAACAGGAGGGGGTCTTGTGGGTGTCCTTAAGGCACACCTTATAACTGTAACCACCCATGTCCTCAGCCTCACTCTGACTGGCTCAAAGATTTTACGACCTCACACATTATTCCATTTTTCTCCAGGGGACCTATCTCCTGGGATAACCACCAATTACAAACCAAGTGGAAGCGCCATGCCTTAGACTGGCCCCCACAAAACACCCTGACCCATCAAACTGCTGTGACAAATGTTTTTTTCTTTTCTTTTTATATTATTTGCGTATAAATTTGTAACCACAAGATAGTGCCCCACAACCTCGAATACGCCAGAAACCCAGAATACAGGGCAGGAAGATTTCTCTTCGCCTGAACTTTCCAGAATAAATATCCAGCATCCCTTGCACAAACCACCCTTGTGGCTCTGTCCTGCCCATCCAACCTTCAGCCTCAAATCAGGAAAGAACTATGCCCCTTCCCCACTAAACTACCAAGATTTCACCCTTCTTGGACCTGTTCCAAAAACTGATTTCTTGTTTCTTCTATTGTCTGAATTGTGATAATTTACAAGTAAATTCATTTTTCATTTATTCTTTGTTAATTATTTCAATGACTTGACATCACCTGGTGTTCTCTCTCCCTCGGATTCTCTTTTTGCCCCATATTGGTAAAAATTTAATTAGATAATTTGCGCTTATTTATACCTATGTTTAGATGGATATTTGATCCCTATTATATCCTCTACAATTGCATGGATGCATAGGCCAACTAAGTTCTTTGATAGTGCATTTTGATATGCGGTAGTAGCTCCATGAGCCTGACATCTGGGGTGAGCAGGCGTGTTCTGTTTTACTTTTGATTATGTTCATTGTGTGGATGTATGTCAAAACTCCATTGTTTATGTATATTCTTTTTGATATATTGTAGACTGTATTGCGGTTGAAGCTTTTCTCTCTCTCCCTGAAGAAGCCCTTGTTGGGCAAAACATGTAGGGAATTACTGCAACAATATAGACAAGCTTCAATTTTTGTTTTTACAGTATTGTAATTATTTACTCTTTTTCTTTCCCCTTTTTTTTGTAAGATAAAATAAAATTTACTGTGGTTTTTAAATCTGTTTATCATTGTAAATGTATACCCTGAAAATCCCACACTATCTAGTTCAACATTTTCCGTTCCTCCCTGTAGGCATGCTGACCCTCCATCCATTCTCTCTTCTCTGGGTCACACTCACTCTTTGTAAATGAAAACTAGATTATTAAAATGAGAAGAGTAATTCTATATATTTCCAGATAGGTTTTCTATTTTGTGAAACTCACAATGTTGTCATACTTTTAAAAGGTTGTTAAACCTGTTTCCTCACTTTCTGTTTTTTGTTGTCATCCTCTGCGTGCCTTGCATACAGAATAATAGCAAATTAGGTCATTAATCTACTGAATGTGCCCGCATGCACTGGATATAGAAATGTTTCCAAAGCATGTGTGAAAAAGCTGGTTAGTGTTAGCAATGAGCACTTTCACAGGTGGCAGTGGTGACAGGTGCTATAGTCCATGTTCATTTTAAGTGAATTGAAACTGACATTTAACTAAACATCTCTTTTTTCTTAAAGGAGAACTCAACCATAGACTTTAAAGGGAATCTTGGGCCAGGCTTTGGACATTTTAAGAGATACTGTCACCTTGCTCAAGTGAGCCTGGTAGACCCGAGGCCCAGACAGAGCTTTTGGAGTTTGTAATTCTTCCCTGCTCTTTTCCAAGCAAAAAAAAAAAAATGCCTGAAATTACATGTTCAGGCAAAAAAAGGGTGTTAATTGTTGGAGGGGAGGTAAAGAGTTGAGGAGGTATTTAAAAGGTTAGATTCAGTGTTGAGGAATCTGCTTATAAAATTAGAAATCAAACATACAGTCGATTCAGATTGTTTTAAAACTTTGAAGTGAATCAGTGTCCAGGTCATGGATATTAAAGCTGGCCATACACTATACAATTTTCTTGTTCAATTTCCTTTAGCTTTACCTTCAACTAAGTAGTGCAAGGGCCTGGCTGACTGCGTACAAATTGAAAGTGTTTAGGTTTGGCAATATATTATATGGTTTTGGTAAATCTAAAGGAAAATTGTACAAGAAAAATATATAGTGTATGGTGAGCCTTAATGAGATGCTATCACCTTGTCCAGGTGAACCCAGTAACTGGTTGCTAGACCCAAGTACTGTCATAGGATAGGTCTCATGCTCCCCCAAACACAGAAGCACTGGTGATTTTTGCTGTATCTACCTAGGTGAGTATAAGGTGTTTTTTTTTTTATAGCCCATACTTCTCCTTTAAGTATAGTCAGGTCCATAAATATTGGGACATCGACACAATTCTAACATTTTTGGCTCTATACACCACCACAATGGATTTGAAATGAAACGAACAAGATGTGCTTTAACTGCAAACTGTCAGCTTTAATTTGAGGGTATTTACATCCAAATCAGGTGAACGGTGTAGGAATTACAACAGTTTGCATATGTGCCTCCCACTTGTTAAGGGACCAAAAGTAATGGGACAATTGGCTTCTCAGCTGTTCCATGGCCAGGTGTATGTTATTCCCTCATTATCCCAATTACAATGAGCAGATAAAAGGTCCAGAGTTCATTTCAAGTGTGCTAGTTGTATTTGGAATCTGTTGCTGTCAACTCTCAAGATGAGATCCAAAGAGCTGTCACTATCAGTGAAGCAAGCCATCATTAGGCTGAAAAAACAAAATAAACCCATCAGAGAGATAGAATAAACATTAGGCGTGGCCAAAACAACTGTTTGGAACATTCTTAAAAAGAATGAACGCACCGGTGAGCTCAGCAACACCAAAAGACCCGGAAGACCATGGAAAACAACTGTGGTGGATGACCGAAGAATTCTTTCCCTGGTGAAGAAAACACCCTTCACAACAGTTGGCCAGATCAAGAACACTCTCCAGGAGGTAGGTATATGTGTGTCAAAGTCAACAATCAAGAGAAGACTTCACCAGAGTGAATACAGAGGGTTCACCACAAGATGTAAACCATTGGTGAGCCTCAAAAACAGGAAGGCCAGATTAGAGTTTGCCAAACGACATCTAAAAAAGCCTTCACAGTTCTGGAACAACATCCTAAGGACAGATGAGACCAAGATCAACTTGTACCAGAGTGATGAAAAGAGAAGAGTATGGAGAAGGAAAGGAACTGCTCATGATCCTAAGCATACCACCTCATCAGTAAAGCATGGTGGTGGTAGTGTCATGGTGTGGGCATGTATGGCTGCCAATGGAACTGGTTCTCTTGTATGTATTGATCATGGGACTGCTGACAAAAGCAGCAGGTTGAATTTTGAAGTGTTTCGGGCAATATTATCTGCTCATATTCATCCAAATGCTTCACAACTCATTGGACGCCGCTTCACAGTGCAGATGGACAATGACCCAAAGCAGACTGCAAAAGCAACCAAAGAGTTTTTTAAGGGAAGAAGTGGAATGTTATGCAATGGCCAAGTCAATTACCTGACCTGAATCCGATTGAGCATGCATTTCACTTGCTGAAGACAAAACTGAAGGGAAAATGCCCCAAGAACAAGCAGGAACTGAAGACAGTTGCAGTAGAGGCCTGGCAGAGCATCACCAGGGATGAAACGTGCGTTCCAGATGTCTATGCGTTCCAGACTTCAGGCTGTAATTGACTGCAAAGGATTTGCAACCAAGTATTAAAAAGTGAAAGTTTGATTTATGATTATTATTCTGTCCCATTACTTTTGGTCCCTTAACAAGTGGGAGGCACATATGCAAACTGTTGTAATTCCTACACCGTTCACCTGATTTGGATGTAAATACCGTCAAATTAAAGCTGACAGTCTGCAGTTAAAGCACATCTTGTTTGTTTCATTTCAAATCCATTGTGGTGGTGTATAGAGCCAAAAATGTTAGAATTGTGTCGATGTCCCAATATTTATGGACCTGACTGTATATGCATATTCAACTGATAATTGCGCGGTCCTGAAAAGCAACAAATGAAATTTTAAGATCAGCCCTCAATCACCTCTGCATCTGATCACTGTGGAGCTAAAGAACCTTAAAATTTCACAGAAGAAAATATTTGTTATTCAAGTCATTCTCTGAGAAGCTCAGCTATAGCTGCGCCTTCTAAAATATCTGCACTGTGTTTGCAGTAGAAGTTAGAATACTGCTGAGAAAAATCCCAACTGAGAGAAAGACTTCAATGTTTTTGCTGTGAACCTAAATTTTATGAATTTTAGAATGAATTACCTTAAGCTATAGAGTTCAGTGCGACCGTATTGTAGCATAGATTTACATACAAGCATCCAAACATGGGCATGCAAAGAAGAGGACAAATGTAAGTGATTCAAACTTTTAATCTGGTGCTTCCATGGCCTATGGTGCAGGAGTGCCTCATTTTAACCACCTGCCCTCCGGAGGATTTACGCCCCTTAATGACCAGGCCTCTTTTTGCTACTCGGCGCTGCACTTATTCAACTGATAATTGCGCGGTCATGCAATGCTGCACCCAAACAAAATTTACGTCCTTTTTTTCACACAAATAGAGCTTTCTTTCGGTGGTATTTGATCACCTGTGCGCTTTTTTATTTTTTCATGCTATAAACAAAAAAAGACCAAAAATGTTGAAGAAAAACGATATTTTTTACTTTCAGCTATAAAAAAATATATAGTAAACTCAAAGTTAGTTATAAATTTAGGCCAAAATGTATTCTGCTACATGTTTTTGGTAAAAAGAATCCCAATAAGTGTATATTGATTGCTTTGTGTAAAAGTTATAGCGTCTACAAACTATGGTATAGATACTGCAATTTAAGCCACTTTTTTGCTATACAGCAGTGACACCAATACAGTGATCAGTGCAAAAAAAAAAAACCAAAACACTGACACTGTACTAATGGCACCTGGGGAGGAAGGGGTTAACTTTTTTTTATTTACTGAAAGGGTTAACTGTGTGAGGGGAGTGTTTTACTAGGGGGCGGGGGCAGGGGCGGACTGACAACTCATGGGGCCCCCGGGCAATAGGGGATCATGGGGCCCCTGTGTCTTTGCCCAAACTCAAAAAAGCCTATGAAAAAGGTACCAGGGGCATCTCATGGGGCCCCCTACTGACCCCAGGCCCTCGGGCAGTGCCCGAGTTTCCAAATGGTCAGTCCGCCCCTGGGCAGGGGTGTGTACTGCATGGGAAACCGATGATCCAGAGAGATAAATTCTTCTCTCCGGCTCAGCATATCAGGAGCTGACAGGGAACCGACAGAAGGCAGAGCTACTGCAGCCCTGCTCTCTGTCAGTGATTGCCGCTAATCGGCGGGACACAGCCGATAACGACCAGCCGTGACCCGGCGACTGACATCCGCGGCCGTGATCGGCGGAACAGGTAGGGCGGTGGTGGCGCGCCCCCTACCTGTTTTGCAAACACACGTTTTAAAACGTGGTTTTGCCCAGCCGTGCCTACCTGTTGCCGTATTTGTACAGTGGCTGGTCAGCTAGTGGTTAAATACCACCTAGATAATTTTTAAAAGGTGTAACACCCTGCATGAATACTTATTGCATAAAGTTAAGTGAACACAAGATGGCAGTGTTCTGTGGTTCAGCTAGGCGGACTCTGCTGAAGAAAAGCCTTGTTGGACTTGCAAGCTGGTAGCAGGATCTTTGTGCTCAGACAAGGAGTAAACAGACTACATTTCCCACAAGAGGTGGCAAAGAGGTGGGAGCATATATATTCAGAAGCCCGGAAACCCTACAGGAAGGAAATGGATAGTGAGGGACAAAGAACGGGTGTGTGGAGAAGGGGGATGCTGGATATCTAGGCCTGCCCAGGCTGAAGTGAAGAGGGATTGCAGACAACTGGTATCACTGACAAGCAGGACAGACAATCCTGCAGGCAGGTGGATCGGAGTACCACCATGAGTATTGCTCCTTGACAGAGGGACCAGGAGAAAATGCCCCCCCCTCCACCCACCTGCTGAGAGACTACCTGTTACGCTACTGTGGCTGCCGATCGGGTGAGAGAGTTCCATACCCAGATCATCACAAGTTGCAACTGTGTTAAATTCAATTATTTCTTTCAGTTCAGTACACCTTACATCACAGCTTATCATACTGAGGCCCAGACTGTCCAGCTTATTGCAGCCTACTGATTAGTGTTTTATGAACATCCTAAATCACATGACTTTGCTCCAGTATATGCACTCTGCA